TTCACTATGTCGCACAAAGTATTAGAAAGATGTGAACCCAAAGTCTGGGAAGCACCCAACTATGAGACTAACCTAATCTCATTAATTAACCTTGTGATATTGCAAAATGCTCTTCATCCCCGTTTCCTGGCATACAACCCCTAATATCCTTGCAATCTTCAAAGCGATGTCTTTCTGTATGCTAGGGTGTAAGTAGGACGGCTGGCAGTCTCTAGGTGAATTGAAGGTGGGCACAAGTCACCACAAACACCAAGGCAAGATTAAAGGTTTGGGACTTCCTGCCACACCTTGCACCTGCAGAGGACAAAGGGCTGAAGATTCAGCTGATCAACGGTGGTCAATGACTTCTAGCCTGAGATAGGGCTCAGAGCTTCTGGACAGTCACCACATAACGGCTCCTGGAGGATATTACACAGCAGAAGGCATGGAAGTGCCACCTCCTTTCCCCCGGATCTCCCCCATCCTTTTCTTTACCTGGTGTCCATTTTTATCCTTTGTAATAACCTCTATTAGAAACGAAACCAAACCCAGCAGTGTTTCTGAGTTTCCAGCAAATTGATCAAACCTGAGGGGTCTGAGGTAACCACTTATTAACCGATCAAAACCTGCAGCTCGCACTGGCATGGGGGTACAGAAGCAGTTGTGAAGACTGAGCCCTCAACCTTTTATTTCCAGGTATATCAAAATCAAATTGAAGAGCCAGAGCTGCAGCATAGTGACTTGAGCCAGTCTGTGATGCCTATGGGAGTGCTGGTTCCAGTCCTAGCTGCTCCACTTCCAAAGGCAGCAGCTTGCCACCCATGTAGGAGACTAGGGTGGAGTTCTTGCCTCCTTTTATCCTGGCCTAGACCTGGCTGTTGTGGGCATTTGGGGTGTCAATCAGCAGATGGAAGATGTCTGCCTGTCAAATAAATAAAAAAAAATCTTAAGAAGAAAAATTGGAGGACCCCCTGACTGCTTGACTGGTGTCTAGATACAAACGTATGCTTACAGATGTCTTCTGTGTTGATCATTGTGGGAAAGCACAGAAGTTTGATTTCTTCCTCATTAACAAACTTTATCAAATTAAGAAAACTTTCATTATACTGATTTTTTAAGATTTACTTGCAAGGCAGAATACAGAGAAGAGATTGATCAATCTTCCATCCACTGTTTCACTCCCCAAATAGCCACAGCTGGGCCAGACCAAAGCCAGGAGCTTCCTGTGGGTCCTCCACTTGGGTGCAGGGGCCCAAGTATTTGGGCCATCTTCCACCACTTTCCCATGTGCACTAGCAGGGAGTTGGATCAGAAGTAGAGCAGCTGGGACTCGAACCGGCACCCATGTGGGATGGCGGCACAGCAGATGGAGGTTTAACCTTCTATGCTACAGTGCCAGCCCCTATCCTAAGATTTTTATGAGTTGTTTAAAAATCGTAACTATGTACTGAACTTAAACCTGCAAAACCCTACTTCATGTCTGACAGTAGAGAGATTAGTAATGGGGTTTGACAGATTTTGGCCCCACTTTTGGCCTACCATTATCAAACTGTGAAGGGAAAAAACACTGCAGGGCCAGCACTGTGGTATAGTGGGTACTGCTGCCTAGGGTGTAAGCATCCCCTATGAGCACAGGTTGGAGTCCTGGCTGCTCTATTTCCAATCCAGCCCCCTGCTAATGCACCTGGGAAGGCAGTAGAAGATGGCCCAAGTGCTTTATCCCCTGCCACATACACAGGAGATGCAAAAGAAGCGCCTGGCTTTGGATCAAGCCAGCCCTGGCCATTGTGGATGGAAGATTCTGTCACTCTGCCTTTCAAGAAATAAATCATTAAAAAAAAATTAGAATGAAGACTGGCCTTTTAACAGTGAGTAAGTTGGCCAGGAGTATAAATATCTACTGCCTCTGGGGCTGGCACTGTGTCACGCCCTGGCCTGAAGCGCCAGCATCCCATACAGGGGCCAGTTTGAGACCTAGCTGCTCCACTTCCAATCCAGCTCTCTGCTATGGCCTGGGAAAGCAGTAGAAGGAGGCCCGAGCCCTTGGGCCCATGCAACTGTGTGGGAGACCTGGAGGAAGCTCTTGGCCCCTGGCTCTGGATCGGTGCAGATCTGGACGTTGCGGCCAATTGGGGAATAAACCACTGGATGGAAGACCCTTCTCTCTCTCTGTAGCTCTTTCAAATAAATCAATCTTTTTTTAAAAAAATCTACTTCCTCCATAGGTATCCAGAGTATAAAAAAGTCTGTTTGAATGAGATTTTGGCAATTTCAGGTTATTCTGACGAACTGATCTACCATTAGAAAATGTCTTCTTCAGCAGAGGTCTGTAGCAAGTTTACTCACCAAGAAAATATAATCCTGTATTTGGAATATGACTAAATGGATTCATTCAGATCAAACAAGCAAAAGGAGACAAAAATAAAAACTATATTCAGCCTCTAAAATCTCAGATTTTCAAAAAACAAAACACCAAGAACAAAATGTAAGAATTTAAAATGTTATAAACAGCTTGTAAAGAATCAAATTGTATACACTGTTGAAAGTCGTTTCATATTTTATTTTCTAATTGCACTAGTTTGCATGTGATTTCTTTACATCATTTCCAAATGATGGGAAAGGAAACTTGCAAATCAGTCAGCACTAATGAGCTGTCATTAATCTATATAGTAAAAGGACATAAAGGGATTCATTAAAGACTTAAAAATGAAAATGTTATCAGAGCTATTAATATTAATAAACTTTAATGTACTATAGAGCAGCTGAAATTCTGGAAAATATCTTCAAGCAACTCAGGAACTTCCATCTGTTAGTCTCATGTTTAATTAAATGAAGCTGGTAGCAATTAAAGATCGTGTTGACATGAATGTACTATATTCCACATGTTCCTTCTTTCACAGGAATCAGACTGCAAATAAACAAATGGCAAAGAGAATATAGAAGACATGCATCTTCTATCACACACAATCGTGGATAACAAGTGAAGAGGCAGACACTGCTGTAGGTGTTACACATCCAAAAAAAATCTATAAATCATGAATCCTCCCCCATAATTCTGTGAGGCAGTAGTGTTCTTATCTCCATCTTACAGGGTTTGGGGTACAGGCTATCTGAGCCCAGGACCCACGTTCTTCTTTCCAGCACACTGCCTCAGAAATACCTGGCAGCTGGGAAGACAAGTCCAATACACTCTCCAAATTGTGGTACTCATTTGATACCTGAGAGCCTAGTATCTTTTCACACTTGCAGTAAGACTTGATTCAGATTTTGTTCTTTTTTGACTAGGAAGAAAAAAAAAGCAAGGATAAAAGGATGGTGGTTGAAAGTAAACCAAAAACAAAGTAGTGAGCAAAAGTTCATGTGCATCCCAAAAGTCTAAGTGAAACTTATCCTTACTAAGCAGGATAACAATAAACATCATACCAACACAAATCCTTTTAATTATGACAGTCAGATAACACAAAGAACCTTTCATTTCTGATACTTTTAACTGTCAAGCCAGTCAATACTGGATGTTAAATCTGTACACAGTAGAAATCTAGCTAGGTATTTTATTCAAAACATGCTTTTATCTATTTGACTACTCAGAATTATTCTGAAGTCAATACTGACAGCAGCTTATACTTATATTAAAGATGTCAACATCATAACTTAATGTTTATGTAAGACAGATGAGATTAAGCTAAAGTACAAGTCACAAAGAGTTTTATAAGCAACTATTTAGTCATGATTCCAGAGATGTGATGAGTAAACCAATGGCCATTCCTCACTAAAAGAGAAGCAATTCCACCATGCATAGTTTACAGACTCTTGAGGATACTTTTTAACGATAAGAAGCCTCTTTAGAAGATGGATGTTCAAGAAAGATTCAACAAACAAATCAAAGTTAAACAATCAAATCTTGGCAAGTCTTTTTACACACAAATGCTTGGTTTGGTTATTTAGTCACTTTAGTTAAACATATTTATATTGTAACTGGAAGTGGGAACAATGCACAAAAAATCCAACCTTCTCAAATTCATGAGTAGTAACTGTTATACCCTCTTAGGAGTAAAACCATCATTCTTAAGATTTCTCAAATATTTTATTCTCTTTCTTAGCATTATAGTATATTATAGGAGCCAAAGAATATAGCTAAAAAAAAGTAAAAACAAATTCTTGAGGACCACTTCCATTCCTTACTTGAAGTACAATCTAATCAATAGAACTATAAAATTTCCACATCAAATATATGTTAGTAAAATAATTCCCCCAAGTAGTGTTGCATGAGCTACAACTTTACCTCAACTATTTTAATCATGATTTGAGATTTTCCAGGATGCAACAGCACTAGACTGGGTGGTTACTACCTAGACAAGAAAAAATATATCACCAGCAAATACATGAATTGGGGTCATAGTCATAATTTTAAAAACTCTCTAGATAAACCATATCTATTACAGGACTGAAGTAGAGAAACTAATGTCCGACTTATATTATCCTGAATAGGAACTGTATCACATATGCAGAGATCAAATACTCTTGATAAAATAACTTGGAAGGATCTATAGATACCATAAAATTTTCAAAATACTTTTATGTACAGGAGCCTAAATATCTTGGCTTTAGGTTGCGGGTGAAGACAATCGCTAAATAAATCTTTCAAGGCTGGTTTTCCATGAATATTAAAAACCAGCCGTTGGCCTCAGATCCATTCCACCTAGGTAAGTGTTCAGACATTCCAAAGAAAAGCAAACAGGTGTTACAACTATACATTCTATTCAAATTGCCATTCTTTAACTTAATGCTTTACAGTACCTCAGATTTTGAATCCAGAGTCTGCACATTTAAGAAATCAGAGCAAGAGTATGATTCAAGAAGATTTGCTTATTTTTTTGAAGGCATGTGAAGGTATTTTGAAGCCATGTATGTGTTTACTGCCTTGTGTATTATATTTCATTACTGAAAAGTTCTTTGGAAATCAAGAAGAAAAATTCCACAATCTATACAATGTAGGTCTTTTTTTCAAGTTGCACATGATTTCAGTGTGGCTGAATAATTAGTCCAACCTTAACTTCATTTTTTGAGTTGATATCTAAAAACTGAATAAGGAAGCGTAAACAGAAATTCCCAATACAAGGGAAAAACAAAAATCTGTCCAAGTAAAATGTATCCTTAGCACAAAGTAAGGGCATAATGTAGTCTGCAGCATAATATTTTATTGTATTTCTCTTCCATTCGGAAACTGGAGACCATTTTTTTATTATTTCCTTCTCTTTCCTTAGCTTAGGGATAGGTTGAAAAAGGTTTAATTTGTACACGTTGTCACAAAATTAAAATCTCATTTATATATACTTTAACTGTTTATAAAGCACTCAAAATTGTAGCTTACATGTATATGACGTCTGAAAAATAACACTTTTAACATAATTTTTTGTTCTGTAAAAATATTTTACATACATGCACATAATCAATTTTTTGGTTGGGAAATTTCCTATCCATAGTAAGTTAAAAAAAAAAAGTCAACAATTATATCAATATTTCCAATGATAACTGTGTGCCACCTAGTGATCAATTTCTGTAACTACCAACCTTACAAATTCAAAATTGTTATTAAAACCCAGTTTCTTAAAAACTACATTTTAGAAATGCTTTTTATAGATATATTTATGGCAAAATAAGATCATGAAAAGAATGTGTATGATACCAAAATTAGTATAAAAATAGCCATATACTACTTAAATATGAAAACCAGACTTATCATTTTTTACTTCAAATGCAGATTTCTGTCTTCCTTACATTTTAGGAAACACCTACGTAACTAGAGTATACAGGAACACACTGTACAGACTAGTCAAAACTAGGGCTTATTCAGAATCCATAATGAGTACAAGACAAATGGCTTATTCAAAACATCTATTTACTTACTGGAAGTGGTCAAAGCAGGATAGGCAGTAATGTATTTTTAAATAGATGTGGTCTTCTACCCATAAGCTCCATTACATCAAAAGAACAAGGTAGCCTTAACATCTCACTTAAGATCATTCAACATTATCAGTTTTCAAAGAAATAAATCAGTCTGCCTTAACAAACTGCAATCATGCTAATGAAATTTCAATCTTCTTTAAGGGTCACGGCCAAAATCCAAACTGCAGGACAATCTTCGGAAAAACTGGAATGTAAAATGCTGAGTTCCACTTAGATCTGAAAGAGAAAGGAACATCATAGTAAAGGAAGAAAAATCCTCACATTCCAACGCTACTACCTATGAGGAAGACTTTCACCATCGTAGGCTATCTGGGAAACAAGTCCATGCGCCAGGTTTGTCTAAGTCCCAGCCTGCCATCAATAATCTGTATCATCTCCTTGCTCATGTTATTTCTGATCCGCCTCCCTGCTAATGGCCTGAGAAAAGCAGCAGTAGATTGCCTAAGTGCTTGGGCTCCTGCCATCCACGTGGGAGACTCAATGAAGCTCCTGGCTTCAGCCTGGCTCTGCCTTGGCCACTGCCAGGCATCCGCAGAGTGAACCAACAGATGGAAGATTGACCTTCACTCTCTATGTAATTCTAACTTTTGAATAAATAAATAAATAAATAAATCTTTAAAAAAAGGAAAAGAGGGGCCAGCGCTGTGGCATGCTGGGTAAAGCTGCTGCCTGCAGTGCCGGCATCCCATATGGATATGAGTCCCGGGTGCTATACCTCCAATCCAGCTCTCTGCTATGGCCTGGTATGGCAGTGGAAGATGGCTCAAGTCTTTGGACCGCTGCACCCATGTGGGAGACCCGGAAGAAGCTTCTGGCTTCGGACTGGCATAGCTCCGGCCTTTGTGGCCATTTGAGAGGAAACCAGGGGATGGAAGACCTCTTTCTCTGCCTGTCTCTGTCAGTCTATCTTTCAAATAAATAAATAAATCTTAAAAAAAGAACAGGACAAATGTGATCTAATTCTTCCTAGGTCAATCTGGTTACAGCGATGACTAGGATGCCTATAAACCATCTGGAGAAATAGCTTAGGTTCTCAGGTCATAAGAGAACTCCCCAGATGGCCATAATGGCCTAGGCTGGTCCAGGCCAAAACCAGGAGCCTGAAACCCAGGTTTTCCATGTGGGTGGCAGGGGCTCAGGTATGAGTCACATTCTGCTTTTCCAAGAGCGTTAGCAGGGAGCTGGATTGGAAGTGCAGCAGCTGGGACTGGAACCAGGGCTCCAACATGGGATGCCAGCACAAACTGCAGCTTAACTCGTTGTGTTACAATGCCAGCCTTGTAGTGTTTAAAACTTTAAAATGCATATGCACACTGGGGTGTATTTATGATTATTCTAAATGGTTTAGAGATGCATCAAAATACAAAACAGGATGGGGAGTGGGGATCACTGTGGTACAGTCAGTTAAGATGCTACTTGGGATGCCTGCATACCATATCTGAGTGCCAGGTTCAAGTCCTGGCTACTCTGTACTTTCAATCCAGCTTCCTGATGAAGCACTTGAGAGGCAGTGGGTAATGGTCCAAGTGTACACGTTCCTGCCATCCACATGGGAAACTCAGGTGGAATTCCTGGCTCTAGGCTTTAGTCTGGCCCAGCCCTGGCTGTTGTGGGCACTGCTTTCAAATAAATAAATCAGCCTCCCCACACCCTGCCATGTTCCTGAGTTCCACATCTGCAGACTCAACCAACTGGGAATTATACAGTATAACAACTATTTACAATGTGTTATGCATTATAAGCAATTCACAGATGCAATTTTATTTATGGCACTTGGACATTCTTGGATTCTGGTATCAACAGAGGATTCTAGAATCACTCTCCCTTGCAGACTACACAGCAAAATGTCAATTGCAGAATTTCGGTAGCTCTCACATGTGGTGACTACATCCTATTCCCCCAAGACCAGGTGTGCATTTTTTGAAATCTGGTAATTTTATTGTACAATGTTGGTCAGGAACAACTTCTTTAGGTACTGTAAAACTTCAACTTTGAGGCAAATGAAACATTATTGGAATATATAAGGAGGTGGCTTGTGAACTACATTTTACGTAGAGGGTTGAAACCAAGGACCCAATACAGATCTAAGAGTAACTTATGATATCATCGTAATAATCAAATATTTTATACCACCAGATGACCAAGTTACAATTTCATTCAAATATAAACTTCTGTGAAGCAGAAGTACAGTGAAACATTCACTCCTATGGGCACTATTGCTTTACTGTTAGGAAAAATACTTTCCTCAAAGTAAACACACTAACCAGAAATCAAGAGGTTGCCAACAGTGCATACTCATCAGATACACTAACTGGCAACAGGCCACCATTTTAACAAGGATTTCAGTGTATGTTCTAATTCAATGCTTCATATCAAGTTGAAACAAGATTTTTCTTTCAATATACTAACAATTCAATTGTGAAGGAATGCCCCTTTGATAAGATCTTGTATTTCTCAAGTGCCTACTAAATTTAACAGCTATCTCTTCAGATATTTTTAATTAAACAAGTTATGAATAAAGGGCTTGACATTCATACTGCCAAAGCAATAACTAAGATTTTTCATGAGAAACACTGAATAGGATTTTAAGAATTCTAAAAGTAACAGACTGATCAGCTGGCCTCTAAATACTTTGGAATATTTCAATTCTTTGATAAGACTCAAAATATAGCAGGAAGTCTTTAATTCTTAGAATTAAAGGAATTTAGGGAAAGAGCAGGTTTCTCTCTGGATTTCCACGAACAGAAAGCAGAAAACGTGAGGTATATCTACTTACATCATCAATGTCTTCATCATCATCTCCAATGTCATCAAACTGGATTTCATCATCATCTCCAGGGCCAAATGTATCAGTTTCATTGATTTTCGCTAAAGATACAAACACATGCACTCATATAATTAAGATGTTATTAAAACGAGCATCTGCCCACTTTAAGAAGTGGGTCTGATACTCAATGTCATAATCCTAAAAGGATGCTCTCATCAGCCAACTTGTAACAGTTCACAGTTTCGTTATAAGGAAAGCCTTCCTGGGGCCGGTGCTGTGGTGCAGCAGGTAAAGCCGCTGCCTGCAATGCTGGCATCCCATATGGGTACCAGATCGTTTCCTGGCTGCTCCACTTCCAATCCATTTCCCTGCTAAAGGCCTGGGAAAAATGGCCGAAGATTGCCCAAGTGTTTGAGTCCTTGCCACCCACATGGGAGACCTGGATGAAGTTCCTGGTTCCTGGCTTCAGCCTCACCCAGAGCTCACCATAGTGGCCATCTGGGGAGTAAACCAGTATATGGAAAATCTCTGTCACTCTTTCAAATAAATCTTAAAAAAAAAAAAAAAAAAAAAAAAAAAGTAAAGGAAGAAAGCCTTCCAACATCTACTCATCAACCCTACTATACATAGCAATATACTATACAACAAAATTTCCTGGAAGGTCACTGCTATGTCAAATGGACAGCACTTGTGCTATAATTTTCTTTTGTTCACAAAGACATTTTTGGTAGCTTCCAATTACACTAATTCTGAAGCTTTCACAACTTCCAGGTGGGCTTCAAAGTTTGAGCACATGCTAACATTTTCTCAAGAGAATAGCTAATTCATTAATCAGACTCATCAATCACAAAGATTTAAACAAGACATCTATATCCATAAGCAATGAAAATGAGTAAGGACATGCTAGTCCTATTGCCAATATACTAACTAGCATTTTCTAGAACAGATATGCCAAGAAAATAATTTCATAGTTAGGTAAAACCGTGCTTTTCAGTATATACAAGAAGGGGCAGGCTTTATGGCACAGTGAGTTAAGCTACTACCTGGGATACCTGTATTGTCTCCCTATCAGCGTGCTGGTTTGAGCCCTGGCTACTCTGCTTCCCATCTAGCATCCTGCTAGTGCAATTGGGAAGGTAACAGATGACCGGCAAGTACTTGAGTCCTTGTCATCCATACAGAGACATGAATGGAGTTCTGTGTTTCTGGCTTTGCCTGGCCCACCCTTGGCTGCAGCGGGCAACTGGGGAGTGAAGAAGTGTATAGAAGATTTCTTTCTCTGGCTCTCCCCCTCTCTTATGGTCATTCGAACAAAATTTTTTTTTTGAAAGCATACAGAGTGGAGTCAAAAATATTTGCCAAGTGAAAAATTCAGGCTCACAATATAGTATAAAGTACATTTCCCCTTTAATGAGGTTATCAGAAGCATTTTTGTTTTATGTTTTCTGTATTAAAAATGTATTACTGGGGCCGGCATTGTGGTGAAGTAGGTAAAGCAGCCATCTGTAATGGCAGCATTCTATATGGGAGCAGATTTGTGTCCTGGCTGCTCTACGTCTGATCTAGCTCCCTGCTGATAGTCTGGTAATGCAGAAGAGGATGGCCCAAGTGTTTGGGCCCCTGTCACCCATGTGGAGACCCGGAAGAAGCTCCTGGCTTCGGATCGGTGCAGTTCCAGCCATTGCGGCCATTTGGGAAGTGAACCAATGTCTTTGTCTATAACTCTACCTCTCAAATAAATAAAAATCTTTAAAAAAAAAAAGTTTTATCCAAAGTAGCCATGCTTTTGCACTACAATGACAGAACGGGGTAGTTGTAACACACACCACATGGCCTGTGAAGACTGAAGTAATCACTACCTGGTCCAAGTTTGCAAATTCCTATCTTATATCACAGACTTTTTTCTATCTGCTAATAATGGGATACAGAAATTACAAATTCTAGGGGCAGCACTATGGTGTAGCAGGTAAAGCCTCTGCCTGCAGCACTGTACTTCACTTGTTTTCCCCACTTGGCCACAACGGCTGGAGCTGCGCCAATCCAAAGCTAGGAGCTTCCCACACAGGAAAAGGGGCCCAAAGACCTGGGCCATCTTCTATTGCTTTCCCAGGCCATAGCAGAGAGCTGGATTCGGAAGTGGAGCAGGCGGGACTCAAACAGGCGCCCATATGGGATGCCAGCACCGCAGGCGGCAGTTTTACCACAGCACCGGCCCCTGTACTCCACTTCTGATCCAGGTCCCTGCTAATGTGTCTGGGAAAGCAGCAGATGATAGTCCAAATACCTGGGCCCCTGACATCAATGTGGGAAACCCAGATGGAGTTCTGTACTCCCAGCTTCGGCCCAGCCCAGCCAGGGCTGTCGGCAGCCATTTCAGGAGTGAATCTGCAGATGGAAGATTTCTTTCTCTGTCACTCTGCCTTCTAAATAAATATTTTTTTTTAATTAAAAAAAAAATACTACATTAGTATTTGGAGGGAGAAAACAGAAGAAAACCCTATGAGGGGGGCACTGTGGCACGGCGGGTAAAGCCTGGAAAAGCAATAGAAGACAGCTCAAGTCCTTGGGCCCCTGAAGTCATGTGGGAGATCCAGAAGAGGCTCCTGGCTTCGGATTGACTCAGCTCCGGCCTTTGCGGCCATCTGGGGAGTGAACCAGTGGATGGAAGACCTCTCTCTCTCTGCCTCTCCTTCTCTCTATGTCTAACTCTGACTTTCAAATAAAAAAATAAATCTTTAAAACAAACAAACAAAAAACCCTATGGAGTATGGGTATTTGGCACCACAGTTTATCTACTGGCTGACACTCCTGAATCCCTGGGTCTAAGTGCTGGCTATGTTCCCGATTCTAGCTTCTTTCTAGCGCACACCCTAGGAGACAGAAGGTGACAGCTAAAATATCTGTGTTCCTGCCACCCATACAGGAGACCTTGAGTTCTGGGCTCCTGGTTTCAATTGGATCTAGCCCTGGCTGATGCAGGCATTCAGGGAGTAAACCAGGGGAAGGAATGTATCACAGTCTGTCTCTTCCTTTGCCTTTCATATAAAATGAAAATAAATAAGTAAAATTTTGAAAAGAAAAGAATCTAAGTTGGCCAGTGCCGCGGCTCACTAGGCTAATCCTTCGCCTGTGGCGCCGGCACCCGGGTTCTAGTCCCGGTCGGGGCGCCGGATTCTGTCCCGGTTGCTCCTCTTCCAGTCCAGCTCTCTGCTGTGGCCAGGGAGTGCAGTGGAGAATGGCCCAAGTGCTTGGGCCCTGCACCCCATGGGAGACCAGGAGAAGCACCTGGCACCTGGCTTCGGATAGGTGCAGTGCGTCGGCCATAGCGGCCATTTGGGGGGTGAGCCAATGGAAGGAAAGGAAGAACTTTTTCTCTCTCCCTCACTGTCTAACTCTGCCTGAAGAGAAGAGAAGAAAGAGGAGAAAAAAGAAAAGAATCTAAGTTACCAGAAAAAAAAAAAAAAGATTACTTTAAATTCGAAGGCAGTGGGGCCAGCGCTGTGGCATAGTAGGCTAAACCGCCACCTGCAGCTCTGGCATCCCATATGGGTGCTGGTTTGAGTCCCGGCTGCTCCACTTCTGATCCAGCTCTCTGCTGGATCAGCCTGGGAAAGCATAAGATGGCCCAAGTGCTTGGGCCCCTGCACCCATGTGGGAGACCTGGAAGAAGCTCCTGGCTCCTGGCTTCAGATCAGCTCAGCTCTGGCCTTTGTGGCCATTTGCGGGGTGAACTAGTGGATGGGAAGACCTCTTTCTCTGTCTGTCTGTCTTTAATTCTACCTCAAAAATAAAATAAAATCTGAAAAAAAAAAATTTTTTTTCAAAGGCAGTGGAATTCAGATCAGTACTTCTTAAACTTGTAAAGTATATAGAATTCCATGAACATCTTGTTAAATGCATGTTCTAAATAAGGAGGCCCGGGGTGGGGTTCAATAATCTGCATTTCTGGGGCTGGAGCTGTGGCGTAGCAGGTAAAGCCACCAACTGCAGCGCCAGCATCCCATATGGGCACCGGTTTGAGACCTGGCTGCTCCACTTCCCATCTAGCTCTCTGCTGTGGCCTGGGAAAGCAGTAGAAGATGGCCAAAGTCCTTGGGCCCCTGTACCCGTGTGGGAGACCTGGAGGAAGCTCCTGGCTCCAGATTGGTGCAGCTCCAGCCATTGAAGCCAATTGGGGAGTAAACCAGCAGATGGAAGACCTCTCTCTGTGTAACTCTGCCTTTCAAAGAAATAAATACATCTTACCAATAAGAAAAAAGATACTAAGAGGCCGGTGATGCAGCTCAATAGGCTAATCTTCCACCTGCGGCGCCGGCACACCGGGTTCTAGTCCC